GAAAGTATGGTATGTTATTGAGGTATGGAGGAATTGCCTCCATACTGCCTGGAGTGCTTAAGGAATCAGACCAGCCTAGTGTGCAAGAGAGCACTTGAATCTCTTTGCCACTCCTCACCATTTTTAACTCATTCTCCTTCTAATTGTTCAAATCAAGACATATGCATAGGACATAGTCATTGTGATATAACTCTATTAAACCTTCCAGAAAAGTACTGGTTCCCCATAGATATTTTGAAGCCACTCTACTAGTCTTTTCATTTTGCAAGAGGACTCTGGACTGCCATATTTGTCACCACTAAAATCAGGATTCTCTTACTGTTCCAGGCATCTCTCCTCAGTCTCTCAAAGAAGCTGACAATTCTAACATGGAACAGACAGCATCCTTATTGGTCCTGAGAAAAGAAGACCCTGGATATGATGATGTTGAGCCTAACACCTTGTAGTGGTTTTTTGTTTTGTTTCGTATTTTGTGTAACCAAGTCTGCAGATAACTCCTTATAATATTGTTTCCTGATTAAAGAGAGTTCTGTCTTCTTCATTACTAGAAAGTCTCTACATTCATTACTGGAAAGTTTCTCATTGCAATAAATACTCTGCGTCTCAAATACCAGTGTCATTCTCTTAATTTAAATGCCTTCACCCCCAGCAACCTCTGAAAATTCAGTGTTCCAACTGAATGGATCTCACATAGGATCCCCCATACTACATACTTGATCTTTTAGATGAACAGAAGTTTATTCTTCTCTTGAACAGTATAAAACTGTAATGCAGTCCTGAGCTAAGAACTCGGTCTTAAGGAAATTAACTTAGTAAACACCTATCTTAATATTCAAAAACATCCCATTCATGCTGACTAAAACCATTTAGTGATTGGGGAGTATAAAATGGATGGTAAATGGCTATGTTTATTTTAATTCTTCATGATTTTTATAAAATATCAATAACTAGATTCTACTACTGCCTATTAGACTTTTACTCCAATGGTTTCTTCTCCTTTCTTGTTATTCAACAGCTCTCTAAGTCTCATGTTTCTCCATAAAATTGCAATATTATCATTAAATACCATTGTTTTGTATCACTTTTCCTTATCTCTACTCTACTCCTTTCTCTGGTTGTCTTTTTAAACAGCCAATAATTCTAACCACCAGAATTGCAAAATATTTCTAAGTCGTTGTATTTACTGTGAAGTATTCCCATCAAAGACCATCCTCATGTATTTATATGAGTTGGAAAGGACTGAGTAAGCAAGCCAAACTCTGAAATTCTCTATGCTAGAGACTCATTGTCATCTATAGCAAATTTTCCAAAATTCAGGTATTTGCTTGCAAATAAATGAATATTTCCACATCTCCATTCTAACTGAATAAGTTTAAACCAAGATTATATTTACTCATTTTTGTGATTTCTTTCTTTTCCTTAATGATTTTTTGTTTGTATTTTTACAAGAAAAGCCCAGGACGGGATGGGTATACAGCAGAGTTTTACAAAACCTTTAAAGAGGAACTAACACCAATA